ACTTCTCCACACACACCATGTTCCTGAGCCAAGTTAGGCATTGTACATGTTTGAATTGAGGAGAATCTACAACTCGTATCTGACGGTGTTATCTGATATAGGATGGAGATTCCAGAGCAAATCTGTGTATTCCTTAATGTGTGAATCAGATATCTGCCTGTCTACCATTAATCTTTCCAATTAATCTACCACCCAACAAATTAGCAAACATGTAAGCGATAACAGCACCCTCCTATCCAAAACTACACACAATGGGGAAAATCAAATGTGTATAGTGTTTGTATGGAGATGGCATGTCTGGAAGTATCTTCATGTATGATTAACTTTACTACAGAATACATTGGGGATAAAACCTTAGTTATAGAGTTAATTGCTTAGTCGGTTTAACTGATAGATTAATCAACAAAAGGTTAAGTTGATTAATCAAAGGCTAGTTTGAACTGGTTCTTGACATGGGTTTATGAACCCACATCCTAAAACAAACCTGTTGGAGAAGGCGGAGTTATCCCTGGGAACATGTGGGTTTCCCCATGTAGCATCCCCACAGTTTCAGGTTGGAAAACGGGGGGGGGGAGGCTGAAGCCCCTTCTCCACACACACCACGTTCCTGAGCCAAGTTAGGCATTGTATATGTTTGAATTGAGGAGAATCTACTACTCATATCTGACGGTGTTATCTGATATAGGATGGAGACTCCAGAGCAAATCTATGTATTCCTTAATGTGTGAATCATTAATGTGTGTCTACCATTAATCTTTCCAATTAATCTGCCACCCAACAAATTAGCAAACATGTAAGCGATAACAGCACCCTCCTATCCAAAACTACACACAATGGGGAAAATCAAATGTGTATAGTGTTTGTATGGAGATGGCATGTCTGGAAGTATCTTCATGTATGATTAACTTTACTACAGAATACATTGGGCATAAAACCTTAGTTATAGAGTTAATTGCTTAGTCAGTTTAACTGATAGATTAAGTTGATTAATCAAAGGCCAATTTGAACTGGTAGAGCTAAGAGATGAAA